CTCTTCAATCTGAATGCTGTAATAGAAATAAGGTTACAAATCCACTTGGAGAAGCACAGGTCTACAAAGAAATTCTGAACTGGATATATTTAGGTTTTACCTGCTCAGCATCCATTTCTCCTGCTAACGCTCACTTTCCACCCCTTCATTTGGTTGGACACAAGACTCAGGTTTGCTCAGTCAGATTACCCCATCTACCGATCACAGTGACGCACCTTCTCTGGCCTTCCCTAATGATGGCCTTTGTAGAAGCTGTTTCCTCTCCTTGAAATATGCCCTACTACTCTCCTGCCAACACCATATCTTTACCTGGCTAATTTCCACTCATCCCTATGTCTGCTAATAGCACCTCCTCTTCCAAATACACTCCGGAATGGTCCACTGGGATTTATATTACTTTTATAGGCTCAAAAGCTTTCCCATCTGATAAGAATTTGGGGTCAACCATATGAGATTGCCAATATTCTACCGTTTCTGACCTATAAAACTGGCAATTTCATCTGATTCAACCTAAAAAACAATTTCTTTAGCTACTCTCCTCTCCCAGGCCGCCCAACCTGGACACCTTAATACTGAGGGCTAAACTAACCCCTACCTGGCCAATCGAAGTGTTCCTTTCCCTTGGAAGCCACAACCAGTGCAATGGTGGCATGTGACCCCAATCAGTCCAATCGGAGCCCTTCCCTGGGATGTTGTTGTTTCAGTTAAGCTGGAGAGTTTGCCACTTTCCCCCGGGCTATGGCACTGGAAGGGTTGGGTTTGTGTCTGCAGATAAATGGCCATTTTCCCAGCACATGCAGTTGAAGGGAATGACTGTGAGCTGAGACAAACAAAGAAATGCATAGGAGAGTGTCTTGATGGAGTTGAGTTTGGGGTCTAGTCTCCTTGTGGGTCTACCCTACATTGTTTCCTTCCCAGGTATATAAGCCAATCAATCCCTGCTTTTTATGTCTGTTCTGTTGAGCTATGTTCCTGTGACCTGCTACCAAATGACTTTGATTCAAATATGTCCCTGAGCCGAAAGCAGTTTGGCTCAGTGGATAGAGCGTCAGTCTGCGGACTGAGGAGTCCCAGGTTCGATTCCGGTCAAGGGCATGTACATTGGTTGTGGGCACATCCCCGGTGGGGGGGTGCAGGAGGTGGCTGGTCGATGTTTCTCTCTCATCGATGTTTCTGGCTCTCTATCCCTCTCCCTTCCTCTCTGTAAAAAGTCAATAAAATATATATATATATACTCCCTTCCTCTCTGTAAAAAGTCAATAATATATATATATATATATATATATATATATATATATATATATATATATATATATATATATATATATCCCTGAGCCTGCAGGTGGGGTAAGGCTACCAGTGTCCTCCTCTTCTCCCATCATAGCCCTGTGGTCATCTGTCTGTCCAGGAGGGCTGGGATTATATCTATCTTGGTCACTGCTGGGTCTACAGTGCCCAGCACAGGGCCAGGCCCAGAGCAGATGTTCATACACTCCCCTAGGAAAATCCAGTGCCCTCTCTCATTGCTGTACCTGTTCCTCAGTTTTAAAGCTCTACGTTTTGAAGAATATATCATTGGCATTGATTTGCTATTAAACAAAGGACTTAGGGTTACAGGAGAAAGGAGGTGGTGGATGTCCTCCAAGGGGCTACACCATGTGGGTCCCAGATATGTTGATGGATGGACGCCATGTTCTGAGGTGACAGTTCCCCATTTTGTTTTTTTATGTTGTTTTTGTTGTTGTTGTTGTTGTTTTAATACGTTTTATTGATTTTTCACAGAGAGGAAGAGAAAGGAATAGAGTTAGAAATATCCATCAGCAGCCTCTTGCACACCCCCTACTGGGTATGTGCCCACAAGCAAGTTACATGCCCTTGATCGGAATCGAACCTGGGACCCTTCCGTCTGCAGGCCGACACTCTATCCAATGAGCCAAACCGGTTTCGGCTAGTTCACCATTTTGTTTTGAAGGCGGCACACCCCACAGCTGGGGTCTCCACTGAAATCAGACCATACGCCACCCCTGCTCACAACCTTCCTTTGGCCTCCCACAGCTCTGAGAATAAAATCTTGACTCTTGACCACAAACCACAACCGTCTGCAGAATCTGCTCCCTGCTTGCCTCTCCCACCTGCTGTCCTCCCACTCCAGTCCAGACACAATGCCTCCAACACACCACGCACAATCCTTTCTCAGGCCTTTACACATGCTATTTCCATTGCCAGGAATGTTCTTCCCACAATGGATCTCTTCAGAATGGATTTCCTCAGCTCCAATATCACCTTTCTTGATACTCTTCCCCCCTCCCACCCCCTGCATCTAAAGTACACCTGCCAGTTATTCTCTGTCCCAACACCTTGTTTTCATCATTTCATTACATTTATTTACCACCAGACACTCATTACATATTTACCTGATGTTTACTGCCTCCCCCCAAGGCACAGGGGTTTCTTTATCTTATATATTTCGTTTTTATTTATTTCAGGGAGAGGGATAGAACATTAATGAAAGAACCCCTGCATGCTCCCTACTGGGGATCAAACTCACACCCTGGGCATGTGCCCTGACCAGGAATTGAACCATAACCTCCTGGTTCATGGATCGACACTCAACCACTGAGCCACACTGACCAGGCCACAGGGGTTTCTTATTTGTCTGTTTTGTTCACTGCTGTATCTCCTGCACAGGACCACATATGTAGTGCATGCTCAATAAAGTCTTTTCGAGTGACTCAGACAATACAGTCAGATGATTAGGTGTGCAGGATTTGGAGGCAATAAACTTTCTAATCACAACTCTGCTGTTTACTGGCTGTATGATCTTGGGAAAGCTCATTAACCTCAACTATTTCTTCATCTAGAAACATAGATGCACACACTGTATGTCAGCTGCAGAGTACAAATGTGATCATGCTCACTATGAAAGTAACTTCATTTTGTGAGTGTTTGTGCCTGGTGCTGGGTTGCATGTTCTTCTTTTAATCATTATTGTTGAGAGCATTACGGATGTCCCTTCCCCTCTCCTTGGCCCATGCCCAGGGAGGGTTTGTGAGCACAGTGCCCAGTAGGTGGGAAGCCCTCAGTACCCAGGAGTCATGATGACCGATAGGTAAGTGTAGCTGGGTCACTGGGTGAGGGAGCCTCCTGGTGCCTTTGTCCTTGACGCCTCCCACCCTGTCTGCCCAGATCTCCCTCTCCCTCCTGCTGTTTCTATTTCTGTCTTCCTCTCCTCCTCCCCAGGCCTCAGGGGGGCCCTGGCTAGCATGAAGTCTCTTCCTTCTCCAGGATCAGAAAGTTTTCACTGCAGCACCCCCAAAGATTAGGGTAGCACCCAATCAACTTTCCTTCCCCAGCCACAATCCTCAGCCTTAACCAAAACTCCCTTCCCCAAACCATCATCTGTGCCCCCAAGCAGACCCCTTCTCCACTTCCAATTCCTCCTATTCCAGACAGTAACCAATGAGCTCTTTCCCACCTTCCTCCCTCACCAGCCTAACTTGGGATACTTGTGCTCAGCTGTCATTGGGGTCATTCCCCAGCTTCCAGATGCAACAGCGTAGTGGTAAGGAACAGGTAAGACCCTGGATCTAACTGCCAGTCCCACTGTTTTCTCAGTGGGATCTTTGGGCAAGTGACTTCAGTTCTCCCTGGTCCAGATTCCTGTCTGTAAAATGGAACCAAGAACCTACCTTGGACAGTTGCCCAACCTCAGAAAGAGGAGCTGTGCTTAGCACAATGCCTCTGTGAGGAAGGAGCATTCACTAACTGCTCAGCAGAATTCTGTGGTGAAGAGGACAGATTCAGAAGTCAGGCTGCCTGCCTTTTCAAACCCCACTTTTGCCACCTTCTGGTTATGTGATCTTGAGACGTTTCTGGGCATCAATTTTCTCATCTGCAAAATGGGATAACTGTAATATGCTCTAGGGTTGTTGTGAGGATTACATTACTTAGTGCTTGGCACACAGTAAGCACTCACTAAATGTTAGCTATTATCATTTTATTATTATTTCCCACCTTTAAATCGCTCAGAGGATAGGAAATTGTCTGCAAGTCTCCCTGGTCCCAGTTAGCCATCCTTCCTTCAATCTCACTTAACCCTTATGCTGTAATCTAGGTGACACACACACACACACACACACACACACACACACGACACAGGGGCATACACAGAGGTCAGTAGAGCGCCCTCAGACACAGAAAAAAATTTAATTCTGCTGCGGCGGATTCCTGGCTCCGTAGGGAGGACTTTGTTTTGGATTTTATTCATGTGGGGATTTATTTGAGGAAAAAGGAAGGAATTGGGAGAGTCTGGTCCTTCCAGTGGGACCTGCCCGGGAGAATGTGTAGTGGGGGAGGTAATCCCGGAGAGACAGAGACTGGACAAAATATGGGAGGGCAGGAGAAGAGACGATAGGACAGAGAAAAAAGAGACAAGTAGAGAAGAGCAGAGACATAAGACAGAGAAGACAGAGAGCAGGATAGACACAAAAGAGGGGAAAAGAGAAAAGGGGACCCCAAGCCAGACCCTACGGGATCAGAGAGGTGAATGGGCTGGGGGTGGGGCTTTGGAGGCCGCCGCGGGACAGAATAGGATCTAGTCCAGCCAGATACAAGAAATGGGCCCCTCGGCCCTGCCCCGGGTCCCGGGCAGGGGGAGGAGGCTCGTGTCTCAGTGCTGCAGTGTGGGGGGGCCCTGCCCCTCCCCGCGCTTCGCTGTGTAAGGCACCAGCTCCGGCGAGGTCCGCGAGCGCGCTGGGAGAGGGACAAGAGGGGACGAGGAGTTCTCAGGGAGGAGAGCCCGGCGGCCGCTCCTCGCTCCCCGGGACGCGGTGCATTGCCTGGAGCCTCAGCGGAGGCCGCAGCGCCCCCTCGGGAGAAGGGCCTCCCTCCCTCCAGGCAGAGGTCTTGGCGCTGTGCTTTTCCCTCCAGTCCTGCCCCAGGGTCCGGGCAGCTCAGCGTCCGTCCAGTCCGGCCCGGAGTCCCAGCGCCGCCCCGGCCGCTCACACGGTGCTCTCCAGCATCCACTCGGTGCTGGTGAAGGCCAGGCGCGCGCGGACGGAGCCCAGCCCCAGCTCTCCGTCCTCCCCGGCCGCGCCCCCGCCTGCCACGTCCAGGTGCGGCGTGGAGCGGTGGCGCTTTGTCCGCCGGGCGCGGCGCGGGTAGCTGTGGCTCTGGAAGAGCACCCCGTAGTCCCCGTCGAACGAATACCGCTGCTGCGGCCGCGGCCGTGCGGGCGCCGCCCCCGGAATCAGAGCCAGCGCGGAGGGCGCCGTGGCTGGCGGCTTCAAGGCCCCCGAGCGGCTCCTCCGAGGACCCACGGCGGCCCGAGACTCCTCCCCAGAGGTCTCCTCCGATGGCAGGAGACACAGCGAGGTGGCCGAGCCGCCCAGGGGGCGCCCGAAGACCGCCTCCGGGTCTGCGGGCGCTGCCGTCTCTGCCCCTGCGGCCTTGGCTTCCACCTCCACGGCCGCGGCCGCCTCCTCGCGCAGCGCCACGCGGCACTCGGGCGCCGGCGGCGCGGCCGCGCCTGCACCATTGGTTTGCGAGCACACGTGGCTGACCCGCGGGGGTGACCTCGGGGAGCCCTTGACCCGGCGGCCATCTCCGTCGCCATAGACCTTGTAGCGGATCATGAGCAGAACGATGAAGACGAGGACCGAGGCGACGATGACGCCCCCGATGACAATGATCATGGTGCCGCCCAGGAAGTGGGCCCGCAGCGGGCGGCAGGGCACTGGGTCGCCGGCCGTGGTAAACTGCACGCAGCCCACCACGCGCGTGGCTGGCAGCGCCGTGGCACCATCATCGTAGACCGCCAGCACGCACAAATCGTAGGCGCGGCCTGCCGCCAGATCATTCACCAGGAAGGTCTGGCTGGTGGAGGGGATCATCCTGTGGGAAGGGGCAGGATCAGCATGGGGTTAGCTCTACTCTGAACCAAGCCATTTCACTTTATGTCCCACCTATGGTGACCAGTGGGAACCAAACCATGCCTTCCTACCAGAATCTTACCCTTTACCAGGAGAGCAGCCATGCAAGCAACGAATTTCTAATTTCTCAGGACCACTGCTACAGGCCAAGCCTTTGATCTGCATGCCCTGCCCTCAGACCAACCCCGTCTTTCTTATTGCCTAGTTAGAACATCATCTGTCGATCATATTCCCTCATCTACATATCCTAGTTCGTGAATGAGAGGAATGCTATAGCTTTTATGCCCTACCCTACAGGGAAACACCCTCTAGCAGCTTCTCACCATATTAGGGTAGCAACAACTGCCATTCAAGGTCTCTTATGTACATATTATATTTTCATCCTTTAAAGGGCCCCATTACTACAAGCCCCACCCCTACCACATGCCCCAGCCTCACAAGTGGCACCCCCTGTCGTTATGACTTTAGAGAGAAAGGAAGGGAAAGAAGAGGGAGAGATGGAAGAGCGGGAGAGAGAGAAAAGCAGTGCTATTTCACTTATTTCTGAATTCCTTGCTTATTGTATGTGCCCTGACTGGGGATTGAACCTGCAACCTTGACTATCCAACCAACTGAGCCTCTAGTTCCTCTTTTTAAAAAGAAAAAATATATATCTACACTAATAAAAGAACATGCTAATTGACTGTACCTTCACAACACCCACCAGCCAATCAGGTGTGAGTATGCAAATTAACCCAACAAATATGTTGTGTTAATTTGCATATACAGGCCCCAAGCAGCTGGGGGAGGGGTGGGGCAGAAAGCGGGCGTTCCTGGGCCTCTGGGCAGCATGGGAAGGTAGAAAGGCAGCTCAGGGATGGAGCAGAAAGGTGGCTCAGGCCAGAGCTAAGGCAGTGCCAGCAGCCAGGAAAAGGAAGGCCATTTCTTGCATGAATCTTTGTGCATTGGGCCTCTAGTGTCTGTGTGTGTGTGTGTGTGTGTGTGTGTGTGTGTGTGTAATTATTGATTTCAGAGAGGAAAGGAGAGGGAGAGAGAGATAGAAACATCAATGCTAAGAATCATTGATTGGCTACCTCCTGCACACCCGCTACTGGGGATCAAGCCTGCAACCTGGGCATGTGCCCTTGACCAGAATTGAACCTGGGACCTTTCAGTCCACAGGCTGACACTCTATCCACTGAACCAAACCAGCCAGGGCCCTATAGTGCCTCTTATAATCCTGCCCTTTCAGGGAAACCATGTGTGTACAGGCCACCTCCTTTATCTGCATGTTCCATCTTTGAGTAAATTCATCTCCTGGCTGCATATATCTTCTGAGCCAATTTCCAAGCCTCTCAACTACATATTCCTGCACTACACCCCATAACAGCCCACTGGGGATGATACCTAACTGTGCCTAAGGCCGTGTCCACTCTTTGCATGTCCTGAACCTGTGTGTGCCCTACCCTATACTGCCACACGTCACCAACTCACACCCCCAGGTAAGTCTCATCTATAACTATTGGGTCAAATGTAGCCAAGCAAACATGCCCCCTTCTTGCTCGAGGCCATTGCCCTCAAATGAGGGGCAGTGCAGAGAAGTGGTTAAACTGGCAATTCTGGCAGCCATACTGCTTGGGTTTGAGTCTCTCTTCTGCCACTTGCTAGCTGTGACCTTATACAAGTTTCTTCCTTTCTTTCTTTTTAAATCCTCACCAGAGAATATTTTTTCCATTGATTTTTAGAGAGTTCGAAGAGAGAGGGAAAGACAGAGAGAAACATCAATGTGAAAGAAACATAGATTGGTTGTCTACTGCAAGCGCCCTGACCAGGGCTGGGGCCTGAGTGGAGCCTGCAACTGAGGTACGTGCCCTTGACCAGAATTGAATCCGGGACTCTTCGGTCCACAGGCTGATGGTCTATCCACTGAGCTAAACCAGCTAGGGCCTTACAAACGTTTTCTTTTTTTTATTTCAGAGAGGAAGGGAGAGGGAGAGATAGAAACATCAACAATGAGAGAGAACCATTGGTTGGCTGCCTCCTGCACACCCCTTACTGGGGATTGAGTCTGTAACCCAGGCAGGTGCCCTTGACTAGAATTGAACTCGGACCTTTCAATCTGCAGGCCAATGCTCTATCCACTGAGTCAAACTAGCTAGGGCTTTACACAAGTTTCTTAATCACTCTGAGCCTCAATTCTCCCAAATGGGGATATTAAGAATTAGTACATCATAGAGATGATGTAAGTATGTATTAGTTAACATACCCAAAGCCTGGCACTTAAAAATTTCATCGTTGCCGAAACCGGTTTGGCTCAGTGGATAGAGCGTCAGCCTGCGGACTGAAAGGTCCCAGGTTCAATTCCGGTCAAGGGCATATACCTTGGTTGTGGGCACATCCCCAGTAGGGGGTGTGCAAGAGGCAGCTGATTGATGATTCTCTCTCACTGATGTTTCTAACTCTCTACCCCTCTCTCTACCTCTCTGTAAAAAATCAATAAAATATATATTTTTTAAATTTCATTATTATTAGCTTCCATCCCACTCTATGTTGGCCAGTACCCTTGCTGTTGCTCACACTCTGCTGCCAGTTGCACCCTCCCTCATCTATGAGACCATTCCCACTAGGCCTTGCTCCTTCTGTTGAGCACATCCTTTCCACATTGTCGGCCAAGTCCAGCTTTGGCTAACCTGGGACTGCCACATGCCCATCACTCAACCTCACAAGCTCTCCTCTCCTACAAAGGTCTTAGTGGGTCACCAGAGACAAGGATCACATCTTCTTCTGCATGGGACCATGAAAAAGGAGCTCCACTTCTCAGAGGTCAATGCCCCCACTTACCTTTCGATGCTTCACCTTCCCTCCAGCCAGGCCACCTTCTGGTTCTGAAGCTTACGGCAGTTGTCTGACTTCCTAAAGGTTCCCCATCATCAAACGCCACCCTCCAACCAAAAGGCTTCCAGTGAGGGCCCTATCCCCTCTATAACACCCATCTGCTTCTCCAACTCTCCCCTTGCCTGCAATTTTACAGACCACTCCTCCCCCTCCTCCTCCCAACCTTGAGCCCCAGGCTGCAAGTCTTTCTTTTCTTTCCCTCTCCCCTCTCAGAGAGACTAGGATTCCTCTTGCTCTTTTCCCTAAAAAAAACACAAAACAGTTGCTAGGGGCTCCCCCCTTTCAAGGACAGAAGCTGGCTCCTTAAGAAAGCTTGAGCCCACATGTCTCTAATTGGCTGAAAGACCCAAGCAAGCAGCAAAGCAGGCTTCTGATTGGATGTCACCTCCATCCATGGCAGAAGTGAGGAAATTAACCCCTATCGCTCCATAGTGCAGGCCTCTGCAGTGGGAGATGGTGAACTGGAACTGTGGCCCTTAGGGGAACGGAAGAGCCCCCAGATCTGTTGCCTAGCTAGGGAAGAAGGGAATCAACAACTGAATACATGTTGGGTCTGGATCCTGAAAACCTCCCTGCACCCCACTAAGTAGTGGCCACAGGTTAGAGAGAAAAGGAAAGAAAGAGAGAAGTGGAGAGTCACAAACCAAGAGTTATTTACAGAAATGTATTATCCAACTCCACTATCCCTGCTTGGCAAACAGTGGGAACACAATAAATGTGTGTTCAAACATAAAAAGGGCAGGACTAGGAGTTAGAAGGGTAAGAACTGGAATCCTGGTTCTGCCACTTTCTGTGTAACCTTGAACAAGTGACTTTCCTCCATGGCCCTCAGTTTCCCTATCTATAAAATGGAAAGGGGATCATCACTGCTTCACATCAGAGCTGGAAAGATCAAATGAAATAGCATCCTTGGTAGTACCTTATAAAGGTTTTTGTTTTGTTCATTTGTTTGCCCTCAAGTTTGTAAAACTGGGCCAGTGTCTGATCTCTCTCGGTGGCCCCAGGGCCCAGCATGGAATCTGACATTCAGTGTTTGATAACCAGATTCTAAAAGAAAATGAGGATGACAGAGACAAAGTTTTCAAAGGCATTTACTCATTCCGCCAACAATGGGAAAGCACCTACTGTGTACCAAGACTGTGGCCCAGAGAACCCTGGGAGGTGACCCTGGAGGCCAAGAGGCAGGCTTTTTGGGGACAGGTCTGAGCACACCAAAAAATGGGGCTCCCAAAAAGGGCTTTACAACCTCTGGCATACCAAGTGAAGTCAAACACAGGATTAAGCACACAGCAGATGCTCTATAGCATACATGAAGGAGACAGAGCCAGGAAGAAGGAGAGCCATTCACAAAGCCCACAACCACTTATCAAGTGCCCACTGTGTGCCAGGTCTATGGCTATGAGTCATACTTAAAAGCTACCAAGATGAAGGACACTGCAAGGCCAAGGCAATACTTCAGCGAATACCACCTGCCTCCTTCCTCTGGACCATAAGGTCCCTGAGGCTGGGGACTGATCTTTTGGTCTCCCAGTGTCCCCAGCACTCTCAGAGCCTAGCACAGAGCAGGGCCTCAGTGCCTAACAAGGGCAGGAGGGAGAGAAGAGACAGATAGAGGCAGATGTGAAATTAAGAAAATGAATAATGGGAGAAAGTAACTCTTTAATGTCTGTCCATACCAGGGTGAAGGCTTCTAACCCAGTGAATAATGAAAACAACTTACATTTATATATTTTGGTTTTCTGTTCCCAATGTGTTGATACAGAAGCACTGGCATATAACTTATAAATATAAATATAAATGTAACTGTTAGATGTGTGTGTAATGTATGTGTGTGTGTTTCATGCTCCAAAACGTTTAACTGACCAGGTACACAATCAACACCTTTGTTGAGCAGGACTATGGACCACAAGCTCCATAGGAGTGAGGATGGGCGGGGCATTCACTGTTATAACTCCAGCGCCCAACCCGACTCACGTGGGTGCTCAACAAAGATTTGCAAAATGCATGAAAAAGAGACAGCGAGACAGAAAGTGAGACAGAAGGAGACAGAGCAACTCGGTATGGCCATCTAGAACCCCAGCTGAGCAAGAAGGCCAAGGAAGTGGGCAGAGGAAGGGGGACCCTTGAGGCGGGAGGAGGCTCTGGGCCCGAAGCACCCACCTGTAGACGAGGGAGTCGTCAGCGGAGCTGTTGTACTGGACTTGGTACATGCGGATGCCGGGCACGGGCCGCTGCGCTGGCCAGCGAATGAGCACGGAGCTGGAGGTGAGCTCCGCCGCCACGAGCCGGCGCTCAGCGGCGGATTCATTGGCACCAGGTCGGCTGGGCGTGGCGATGTCCGAGGAGCCAGGCTCAGTGAGAGGCGGCGGGGCAGCCGGCGGGGGCGCCATTAGAGGCAGGGGCACCACGCACACCTCCACGGGCGCCGTGGCTTCTCCGGCGGCATTGGACGCGATGCAGGTGAAGGTACCGCTGTCCCGCAAGGTGGTAATAGTTACATCCAGCGTCCCATCCCCCCGGACCCGGGTCCGGCTGGAGTTCCCCAGCAACCGCCCGTCAGGTGCCACCCAGTGCACCACGGGCTCGGGGTCGCCCACGGCGCGGCACCGCAGGCTGACTGCCTGGCCCTCCACCACGAGGGCCCGGCCCCCCGCCTGCCGTGTGATCAGCGGGGGCTCGCACAGGAACTCCTCCTCCGGGATGGACCAGAAGTAACGGTCAGTGAGGTGCTCGGGGGTGGCACAGGTTTCCAAGTCATCCTCCCTGGTCAGCCGCCGCAGCCAGAGCAGCTCGCAGTTGCAGTGCAGGGGGTTGCCGCCAAAGCTCACCGTGAGCGGCGTGGGCGGCTTGGGCCCGGGGCCCTGGGACCTCAGGAAGAGCCCGTCAGGGGGCAGTTTGTGGAGGCGGTTGGAGGTCATGTCCAGGCGAACCAGTTTGTGAAGTTGCACAAAGGTACCTTCGGCGATGTGGTCGATGAGATTGTGGTCCAGCGTGAGGGTGTTCAGGTTCACCATCTGGCCCACTGCCTCCCAGGGCAGGGCCTCGAGGTTGTTGTAGGACAGATCCAGGTCCTCCACGGTGGACAAGAAGGCATCGAAGGCTGCCGACTCCACCCGGCGGATCTGGTTGTTTCCAAGAATCAGATGGCGGAGGTTGCCCAAGCCGCGGAGCTGGTCACCACGCACCTCGGCCAGGCGGTTGCTGTCAAGGTGCAGAGCCCGGAGGGCACGGAGGTCAGCAAAGGCGCCGGCCGCCACCTGGCCGATGGTATTGCGGGAGAGGGTGAGGTGTACCAGGCTGGTCATGTTGGCGAAGTCTCGGCGGCGGACGGCCGCAATGAAGTTGTCTGTGAGCCTCAGCTCCACCACACGCCGGTCAATGGCTGGCGGCACGAAGAGCAAGCCGGTCTTGGCGCACAGCATGGTCAGCGTGGGCGCCACGTTCTGGCAGATGCAGCGGCCAGGACAGGGCTGGGCGCGAGATGCCCCTGTCCAGAGCAGCAGCAGGAAGGACAGGGCTGCAGGTGGTGGCAAGAGCAGCGCAGAGGAGAAAGGACCGGGAGCCATGGTGCAGTGGGGAGGTGGGAGGAGTGGACAGTAAGACCTGAAGGAGGAGGAGAACGTTACCCAGGCACAGAGCTTGCTTGCCAGCCTGGCTGTCCTGGGATGTTCTGCTCAGAGTCTAACCCAGATCCTCCCCTTCCTGATAACCAGTTCTGTAGGGCAGTGACAGCACTGATCCTCAGTTGGCATGCATTTGTTAGTAGATAATATATTAATGCTGGTTGATAAATTACCACTGTCCCCACCTCTGCCCCTCCCCTAGGGGTTCCCAGACCTCTCACAATCTCCTAGCCAGAGGGGTGACACCTGGCCCTGACTGGGCCTTCTAGTACCCACTGAACATTTTGAAAAATCACTCCTTGCCGAAACCAATTTGGCTCAGTGGATAGAGCATCAGCCTGTGGACTGAAAGGTCCTAGGTTCAATTCCAGGCATATACCTTGGTTACGGGCACATCCCCAGTAGGGGATGTGCAAGAGGCAGCTGATCGATGATTCTCTCTCATCGATGTTTCTAACTTTCTATCCCTCTCTCTTCCTCTCTGTGAAAAATCAATAAAATATATTTAAAGAAAAGAAAAATCACTGCTAACTAGGGTTTAAGTTCATGGATTTCAAAGCCATATTCCCTGGGTTCAAATTCCAGCTCTGACACTTACTAGCTGTATGACCTCGGGCAAGTGTCTGAACCTCTCTGAATTTCGGTTTCTTCATCTGTAAAAAGGAGATAAAAAAAGAAAAGAAAGAAACAGGCCTTACCCCTGTGAGGGTTAAATGGATTATTGAGAATGGTGTACTACTTATGAACAATGCCTGGCACATAAAATGTATTCAACACATGTTAAGTATTATCATCATCGAGTGCCCATTATGTGCCAGGTATAGAAGTATGCACTATTATTAAAGGAAAGTGCTTTGGCCTAGCTGGTTTGGCTCAATGGATAGAGCGCCAGCCCTCAGACTGAAGGGTTCCAAGTTCAATTCCAGTTAAGGGCACAGGCCAGGTCAAAGGCTCCATCCCCAGTAGGCAGTGTGCAGGAGGTAGCGATGAATAATTCTCTCTCACCATTGATGTTTCTATCTTCCTCTCCTTTTTTTTCTGAAATCAATAGCGATATATATATATATATATATATATATATATATATATATATATATATATATATATGAAAGTGCTTTGAAATCAGACAGATTCAGGTTCAAGTCTTGGTTCTACCCACTTGCTGGCTCTGTGACCCCAAACCAATGATTTCCGCTAACTAGGCCATACTCGCCTGTTTTGTAAAATGGGATGATAATTGTACTATCTTCCATGTGTTGTTGCAAGGGTTCAGTAAACTCATTCATGGGGGTCCCTGAGCACGGGCCTGGCACTCAGTAAGTATTCATTAAATGTTATGGACAATATCCCCCACCCTTTATCAGAGGTAAAGGGAGTCTGAAGGTGGAAGAGGCTGAGAAAACCACACCAGTCTCCCTGCTCAGCCTCAGGAAGTCCTTCTCGGACCTTGGTTCATCCTGGGCTCTTCTGAGCTCCCAAGCAGGGGGCAGACTTCTGTGCTCACATCTGTGGACACATAAAGACCCCACACATGCCTACACAGACACACAGACACTCATACACGCATGCCATTCCTCTGCTCCAGGCAAAACCTTCCAGCAGGGATTCCCCTGTGGCAGCTGCAGCCCACGACATGTCAGCTCCCATCACAACATGGGGTTGGTGGGGGGTGAGGAGGAAAGGATGCAAAGGGGGCATCCCTGAAACTGTTTTCACCCCATCCTGCACCCCAGTCCCTGCTGGCCCGCCGCCCAGGAATCTGCAGTCTGGGGCTGTGACCTAATGTGGCCTGGTCCTTCATCCCTTTGGGGAGAGGGAAGATAGATGTGGAGAGGAGGAACCAAGAGACTCAGAGAGAGAGGTGAGGAGACGAGCGAGAGACAAGGGGAGGTAGAGATAGGCGGGCAGAGACAAAGATAGAGAGAGAGAGGAAAATCTGAAAGAAAGGTGAAGAGACAAGGATTGAGAGACAGAAAAACTTAGTAGAGGAGAAAAAAATAGAGACTGAGACCTAAAGGAGAGAGGAAGTGAGAGAAGGAGAGAAAGGAAGGGAGAATCAGATTGTATAGAGACAAAGAGTGAGACAGAAGCTGAAGGAGACAATCCCTGGGCTGACGAGAGAAAAAGAGGCCAAGTCAGGGGGCCCCACCATTTCCAAGGCCCCCGACTACTCGTCTTGCCCTCCCTCTGGGACCCTGTACTGGACAGGAAACCCTGACCTACAAGGCGGGACTCCTGAGGTAGGAGGCCCCGTCCACACCCGTCTGGCTGTGGGTCTCTAGGGCTCAGAACCCCATCTATGACAGTGACAGCACTGAGTACAGAGCTTCACCTCCCACCGCTGGGGTGAAGGAACTACAATAGCAATGAAAATAGCTAACATTTACTGAGAGGCAGTGCAGCATTGCTGGACAGGAACTGAACCCGACTGCCCAGGTTCACACCCCAATTCCCGCTGTGTGACTCTGCTCAAGTGACTTACCTTCTCTGTGCCTTAGCATGCTCCTCTGTAAAATGAGGCTATAAGAGTACCTACGGCATCAGGTCATTGTAGGGATTATGTGAGATAATGCAGTGTAACGTGATTAGAACAGCTCCTGGCAAAGTCAACACTACATAAACATCTATGCTATTGCTGTTGTTATTTCCCTCTGGCTCTCTCAGCCACCAGCAGGCTGGAGTCCCAGGAGATCTTCCCCCACACACACAAATGGTAGACACATTCATGTCACTGTCCAAATGCGGGAGTCAGTTCATGCCATGAACTCTCTGATACCCTTTACTGCCATCATGAGGAAACCCCTGTTCTTAACTACCTTACCCATCCAGAGAGGGGATTCTTAAGCCTGAGACCCCCATCTGCTACCCGTGCCCTGGTTCTATGAGCCCTTACCCATGATGCTCCTGACCTTGTCACCACCCCATCCCTAGCCTGGCCCCTCAGGACACTGCCATACCCTTCACTGGAATCCTCAGGCAGGGCTCCAGGCCTCCAGAGGGGCTCGGAACAAGACCAACCACTCCACATCTCCCCAGCAGGAGGGACCCCACTCACCTCTCTTCAGGGAGTCAGGGCCTGGGCCAGTACCTACAAAGAAACAAAATGACCCTGTTAGCATCCTTCTGGTTCCTCACTGGAGATCTGCCTCACAGACCTTCTCAGCCAAGGAAGTCCTTGGTGTGATCACACTCTCAGTCCTCTTGCTGCAGGTGCTCTATAATTGCAGATGGACCCAGAAAGTAATCTCTAGAAATCAAGGAGTCTTGGTCTCCAAAATTAAAGAGTCCAGGACATTAACCTTTGTCCTCTGGGGTCTCAAGATTCCAGTGACACCAGCTCCCTTCTCCCTAGATCCTAGAATCTGGAACCACCCTTTTCCTCCCTCAGACTCAAGAGCCCAGGTCTCAATCCCTTCCATTCTCAGGACTCAAGAATTGAGCCCATCCTCCTTCTCCGTCAGCCTCCTCCTTCCGGAGTTCACCTCCCAATCCCCCAACTTCAAAGACTTAAGTGGTACCAGGAGCTGAGGAGGGATCAGACGTCCCCATGTCACCATCAAATCATTGTCACACCAACATGTTGTAGACATCTCAAAACTCACATGGGCCCACAACTCAAGTCTCTACACTTGTATTTCCATAGATACACCAGCTTTATCCCTGTGCTCCCGCCCTCCATTGGCTCCTGGCCTGAGATATGGACACTCTTGTATCCATGAGCCCCAGGCTGGACCCCAGCATACCACAGATCACTCCACATGAACCCCAATCTCACTGGGTCGAGAAGCAGGGTCAGCCTTGTGCCAGGGGCACAGGCATGTGTGTGCATACAATCCTGCACATATATTTTTGAACACACACAAACTCTCTTGAGAGACCAACACTGATGCATAAATGAACTCACAACAGAGACAGACACATACCCTCAAGGTTGACACACTCGCATACAACCACACATGTACAACATTGACTCTTTCTTGCACATTCACATACACAAATGCACGATCACACAAATGTGTGCGCTCACATGCACGCGCGCACACACACACACACACACACAGATGTGTATGCTCACGTGCACATACACACACATACAAACATGAACCTACCCTTGCAGACAACCAGATATATGCACTTATAACAGATATACCCTTGCACACTCACCAACACACGGGCACACACATATACCAGATACTAACTTGCACAATCAAAGATACATAGGTAAACACTCTTAAATGCCCAAACATGCTCAGACAACTTCACATATCCCCATGATGTACAGTCTCAAAGCTAATATGTTCCTACACCAACAGATGCAAAAATGCACACAACTAGCTGATAGACATCTCACACACATACACAGAACCGCAAGTATACATGAACACAAGGCTAATACACACTCAAACAAGCACAAGGTACAAAAAGATCTACCTTTTGCACAGACACTCTGAGACGTTACTCATAAAGAAATGCTCACACCCAGCTCTGTAAGGGATTTACACACCTACAAATGCACACAAAATATTGAACCACAGTGACATAGTCAACAGATAGGCACACACAACAGATTCACATACACATACATGGACACACATCTCTCCCAGTCCTGAGGCATTCTTGCCCACTTACTTTGCAGGCCAAAGAAATCCTAACATCTCTCCTTCCCACCATACGTGCCCCCACCACCACAGCAAAAGCCAGGGCCAGAGGTCAGAGTTCAGCAGGTCGAATCTCAGAGGGTTGGGGAGCTGAGTCCTACAGCACTAGTCCAAGGCGATCCTCCCACCAGCAGCCCAAAGGTCTCCCAGCCTGGCCATCTGGATGCAGACAACTCTGGCCCCCTCTGCGGAGATCTGTCGGGTGTGGGGACTGGGGTGGGGTGGGTGGGGAAGGGCCAGGTCTGCGTGCCTCCCCTAGGACCCATCTGTCCACCCCTCGGCCTC